GCCCAGCTGCTTGGGTTCTTCTGCTCCGACGGGATAGAGCTGGCTGGGAGTTAGCAGGGCCTTGGCCTCCCCCTTAAACCCACCCTCTGAAAGACGCTGGTTTCCCTTCTCTCCCCCGGTGCTTTACGGGAGGGACCAAACGAAGGACCCCAGAGAGGCTGTTTTGTGGACAGAAGTGTGTATTGGGGAGGAGGTTTTGGAGACATGGGAGCAACACTGTCACCATCTCAGTGATGGGGAGGTTCGGGGGCCGAGCGGGAGAACAGAGGCCAGAGACCGCGTCGGGGTCACAGAAGGTAGGGTGCAGCTTTCCGGTGAGTTCTCCTCCTGTTCTCTTGGGCGTCCCTCCATCCCGGCCCCACTGCGGACGCGCTCGGTCCCTTGCAGTCTCTGTATCCCCCTTAAGTGATCTCAGCCAGTCCCCGGGCCTCTCACATCATGTGTGCTCCGCGCATCAGCCTCTGTGGGCGCCTGGGCGGCTCAGTTGGTTAAGCGTCCGGCTTTGGCTCAGGTCACGATCTCGCGGTTCGTGGGTTCGAGCCCTGCGTCAGGTGAGCCCTGCTTCTCTCTCTCTCTCTGCCCCTCACTCACTTGCGCGTCCCCCCCCCAAAAAAAAACAAGTCAAAAGAAAACAAAAAAGAAAGTCTGTGGGTTATGCCGTAACAGACCTGCCGAGGCCAGGCTGGCAGATTCGGTGGGGAACAAACGAATTTCCTTGTTAGACTCAGACAGCCAAGGAAAGCCGGGCGAGACCCCAGCCCCCTGCGATCCTGCAGGCTGACCCAGAATCACCAGGGGCCAGACCACTGCCTCATGAGTAGGGGGACACTCCTGGACTGAACTTTCCTGCTCCAGCAGCACCGTAAGGCAGGAAGCCTTAAACCTCATCAGAACCCAGGATGGGAACCCGGGATGGGAACCCGGCCCCTGGCGGCCTCCAGGGAAGATGCGGAGGCTGGCGGCGGCTCTGTGGCACGGACCCCCCGCGCCTCCTGTGCTCGCCTGTCCTGGAGGTCACAGGGCGTGTGGCCAAGGCTCGGAGCAGCCGTGGGGAAGCCCTGCCTACGCGGCCGATGTGAGTATGTGCAGGGGCTTCTGGGTACAGGCTGGGAGCTGCTCCACGAGTCGCCTTTTTTTGTTGTTTTATAATGCTTATTTATTTTTGAGAGAGAGCACGACAGAAGGCAGAACGTGAGCGGGGGAGGGGCAGAGAGAGAGGGAGGGACACAAAGATTTTGACTCCGAGCTGTCAGCACAGAGCCCACGAGAGCAGGGCTCGAACTCCCAAACCGTGAGATCATGACCCGAGCCGAAGACGGCTCAGCCACCCACAGAGCCACCCAGGCGCCCTGTCTTCCTCTTCTTTTTTTTAATGTTTCTTTATTTTTGAGAGAGAGAATGAGCAGGGGAGGGGCAGAGAGAG